GGCGCCGCCAACTTGCGGCGCTTCTGGTGTGCGACCTGCTTTAGGCTGTTAATGCTACTTTGGTTTCTTTCTAGCATTTATTTTATAATAATGAATTATCTAAACTGTAAGAAAAATAAAACTAATTTCACAGTTTTGACAGTGTAACGTCAAAAAACATAAAAATTGTGGAAAAATGTAAAGTAGCGCTTCATGCCGAATCAAATCATCATGGGGCTCTATTTTGACGTTCCATGTGCAAAGTGCAAAGCGCAGGGCGCAAATGCTTTTAGGGTGTGTCAGAATCCACTTTTGCTAATATAAGGACGGAAAAATCCGCCTTGCGCCGTGGCGCATGATCTAAATGGGTTGAGCTTATTTTCTAAATGAGTTTTGAGAATAAACAAATCAGAGTCTCATTTCCCATTCATTTTAAGAGCCAGTTGCGTCGCGCCATGAGCGCATTTGCTTTCTACATGACGTAAAGTAAGTGTAAGTGGAAAAACTGAGTGTTTCACTAGCAAGAAAACAGTTAAACAGAGCATCTACAGCGCGAGAAGGAGAGATAAGGCATCTCATTATCTACTTTCACTTTCGCTCTCATGGATAGGGAAACCTTGTACGTACAGATATCCATTAGCCTATACATAATTAATTTCGTTTGTTAAGCGCAAATATTTGTTTCAAAACTATTTCTGAATTCAGTTGTAATTTCCCGCAAACAAATAAATGAACAATAATAATGTAGTGTTATATCCAAATACACATGCTGTGACCCATTATACAAAAGCAAATTGTTATGAATAAACTGAAAAAGCCTCCCAAGAAGAAGGCATGAAGGCAGTGGTTTTTACATTTATGTAGGCTAGAAAATAATATGTTATGTAATATTTTAATCCTTTATATTTATATCCTATCCTTATTATATCATATATATATATCCTTAATATTTTTATTATTTTCATATGTAAAGATATTTGTGTATTGCTCTACATCTTGTGTGTATTAAGCAGTGTGTAAGCGAGGCGCATAACTAACGCTCTCTGAGTTGGACTTTAGACCGGCTTTGTTTTGATCTATTGAAAAATCTATTATAGTTTCTCAAAATAGCAACGCGCCAGCAATGCGCCTCAAAACACCTTTCTTTTTAGGCCAGAAAGCCTATGGGCGCACATATGAGCGCAAATGCATTTGCTATATAAACAGCGTGAAGGAAAACATCAAAACGACTCTTGCGCCGAGCTGAAACTAGCAAACAACAATTGTGTCGCACCTTTCGCCACATTGCGCTGGGTGTATGACAGAGCCCATGGTCTAATATCTGTAAATATTAAACTGCAATAGACTATTTTAATATGTAGTTTGCTTGTAAATAAATAGAACTAATTCTATCATCTCACTATGAGAAAATTAACACACTGACCACTTTTATTTTACTATTGTTTGATAGCTTGATGAGATGTACAAATATACAGTATTCATTCATTACTGTATTAAAGAATGCAATTTTTTAACAAAGTAGTTTTTGCAATTTTTTTCTCAGGGCTCCACCGCTAAATTATAAGACTCTTTTTTGATGGCATTCAGCTTATGTGGCATTCATTAAAAAAATAATTAATTTATTAAACTGTAAAAAAAAAATGAAACAAATTTCACAGTTTAGATGCAGTGTAATTTTTTTCTATTATTATTCAAAAGCTAACAGCATAACACTGAACAGCAAATACATAGGCCCAATCCCAATTCTATTTTTGTACCCCTACCACATCCTCTTAGCCTTCAAACAGAGCATGAAGGGTGAGGACTTCATAATTTACTACTAAGAAATGGGACAACATCATGACCTCTTGCTTCATATAAGATTAAGATATAAGATTAGTCATCAATCATGACTGCTGTAGTTATTCCAGTTGCGTTATTTTTTTGGTATTTATCTTCAAGAAATCACTGAAGGCATTTATCATGTTATCATAAGGATCTAACGGGGCAATAAGATCGTAACTTTACTGTGTATTTACACCATGGCCATTATTATTATTATAGCAGACACTGCAAAAGGCTCATTCTCAACCACTAGACTTTACTGACAGGGTATTTGAGTGTCATCGAGTGTCAGAACATTGTGGGATACTTGAGTTATAATTATGGATTATAGTGAAATTTACCGGTTTTTATTTTAGAGGGATTTTTTTTAAGCATGAAGGTAAAACACAAAACACAATTATGAATCTATAAAGACATATGTTTGTTTGTTGTTTGTGGATTTGTTTGTTATTTGTGGAACTCCTGACTTCCAGGTGCAGCTATGCAGTTGTGACTGGTGTATTCTGAGATTAAATTTTTTTTTTATTTCTGAAAAATCTCTCTTTTGAGGGCTATCTAGGGCTATCTCAAAATTTCGATCGACTTCAATTTAAAATTTGAATTGTGACACCCCTACTAATTATATTTAGTTTGCTTGTAAATGAACGGCACAGATTCTGTCATCTCATTACTACATTGAAAATTACGTAGAAAATTACTACATTGACCAATTTTATTTTAATGTAACTTGAAACTTACATAAATATACAGTATATTATTGTTATTTTTATCAATATTTATCATTTATTTATTAATTACTGTATCAAGGAATACAATTTCTGTACAAATAGTTTTTGCTAAATTTTTCTTAGGACTTCACTGCTATTATTAAATTATAGATTTTTATTGGTTACATTCAGCTTAATCACAGCAAAACTTCACAGTTTAGATGCACTGTAATTTTACAGTATAACACTGAACTTTAAATGCATGTCATATTGAAAAATGATTTAAAATCAAGTGTTCGAATGCACCAAAATGCCCTCAATCACACACAATTTTAAATCCCCAATTGTTAAAGACACAAATAAAACATCTATAGTTTTGCTTATCTATATATTTGAATGTAGCACTTTTAATTTTGTTCATCTAGTTGTATTCAAACGCAGGATTTGCCATCTTGCAAAAACTGTGTTGACTGTAAAAAGAAACCAAATTATTACAGTATCAATGCTAGGCTTATGTCTTATTGTTGTGTTTGTCTTGTTACCAGAACAATTGCTGTGTAAATTGTATTGGTCAGTAAGACAACGAGCAGGCAAGATATTCTTCTCCGATCAATATTTCATTATCTTTTTATTGTTTACATGAAAGAAATCCATGACTACATTATGTAAACTACTTGTAACTATTCAAATAAACTGTAATAATGTGAAAAACGTTGACTGTGTCTAAATAACACTTTGGTTTGACCATCTATACTGATCAATTTTCAAATCAAGTTAATTTTGCGGGTTCCATCTATATTCAGTGAAGATGTTCTTTGTCTTTCTGGTGAAGCTTGCAAAGCAGCTCTGAGATTAGCATGCTACGTACGCAGAGACTAGCATCCAAAACAACAACATATGCTGGTGGTCAGATGTGCCAGTCTTTTCAGCAGGATGTTTTAGCCCTCAAAAGGATGAGAATGAAAGAGACTCACAACTGAAAGAGGAGAACAAAGTTAAAGGCCCAGCTGGTGTGTTTGCCCAGGAAGAAAACTCCCAGCACGTGCAGATTTGGCTGGAGATCCTCATCTCGCCTCCATGCTGCGACGTCCCTCTGCAGAAGACCCGCATCTACAGGGAAAAACACACAGGGAGACGTCTTATCAGCATCCATCTCAGAAGGAAAGGACTGACAAAGGAAACAGCAACAGAATTTCAGTTAACATGAAAAGGTTTGGTTTCCTGACATCCGCATTCAGAAATAGCTGTAAACATGAAACAAATAATAGGAAGCAATGTATATTATTTTCATGCTACCCTGTGTACACTACTAAACAAATGCTTTGCATTAGTTTCTAAAAATATATTATAACATATACAACATATAACATTCATATTTTTATTAATAAAACATTCTAGTAATAAAAAACAATATTAAACAAATCAGGAATAACATTGAATATAATTCATTTATTCCTGTGGTGGTTCCAAGCTGGATTTTCAACAACATTACAGCAGCATTTAGTATAACATGATCCTAAAAAAATTGTTAACTCTCTGAAGCCAGCAGATCACCACAGCGTCTTAAGCATCAATTTTTCTTATTAGTTACAAAGACATTAAGAATACTCTGTTGATTTTGTCCATCTTACAGGCCCCCAAATCACCTCAGACCCCAGAGAGTTAAGAAACCTATCAAGAAACCTATAAATCTATCAAAAGCAGGGTTGTCCAAATTCGGTCCTAGAGGGCCGGTGTCCTGCAGATTTTAGCTCCAACTTGCCTCAACACACCTGCATGAATGTTTCTAGAAAGCCTAGTAAGAGCTTGATTAGCTAGCCCAGGTGTGTCTGATTGGGGTTGGAACTAAACGTTGCAGAACACCAGCCCTCCAGGACCGAGTTTGGACACCCTTGATCTAAAGTGTTAAGAAACCTACCGACCAATCAATCAATCAAATCACTTAATCTTATCTAATCTATTCATCCATCCATTCATCTGTCTAAAATACAGACTATATGTTTTTGTTATTTTTGATCAAGTAAACAGACCCTGTAGAATCATATATGCCTTTTCGTTTTTCTTTTCTTGATAAACAGAGTAGTCTTTTAAAAACAGCAAAATTGCAAAATCTCCCTTTTTCGATCAATTTAGTGTATCCCTGCTGAACAGAACCATTTATTACTTTGGAAAAAGAGGGAAACAAACAAGCTTTTAACCAATTACAGTCATTTCATATCAATCAATCTTTAATGGAAGCCATTTACAAAACAAAAAATAATAATAATAAATAAAACAAAAGGCTCAAACGTTTGGCAAAAGCCTTCAATACAGTCCATTCCCATTCGATTTCAAATTATTGTGCACACTTTAAAAAAAAAAAAAAAAAAGTTGAAAAAAAGAATAGATTTTTGCTGATTGTTCAAACTACTTGAAAAAAATGAGCTGCAACAACATTATTATGTAGAGTGTTTTGGAAAACCTAATTGTTTGATAGGGCACCCATGATGAAAATTTGGAAGCTATTTGGACAGAATTGTGTGCATGCATAGTGTGTCCACAGTCAAATTGGAGTGATAGAAACACAATAAGTCCCTTTTTTTTAATTTCCAGACATTAAAATAGGATCCAAATCAATCCCATTTTAAGGCCGACCACAACGTGACGAAGAAGTTCAGTTTCCCCGCAAACCAAATTGATTGACAGCCACGTAATAACATGTCTCCATAGTAATGCATATAATCATATCGACAAGACAGGCAAAGCAACTGCGACTAAAAGATCTGCTCAGCTCTCTGTGATCATCAATCATCAAATGTGATCAAGAATGAGTTTTACAAGTTTAAAGCGTTTTTAAAACGGTGTATGCTCGTAACAAATTTACAGCAATTTTACCGTCTTTATCCCCACAGCCGCATGTTATAAAACAATTATAAAAGAAGACACCTCAATCCTGGTTTGTAAACATTAAATCAGATTTATTTTGAACATTAATATTGGATGTTACCTGTATCCTGTCACATTTGACGTGCAAAAACATAGCAAAGTTACAGTTTTTCTCAGTCGCTTTGGTGCGTTTCTCACAACACTAGTGTATTTCTGCACAACAATTAATGCATTTCTCAAAACAATTAGTACAAACTGCAAAACCTAGTTGATAACCTGCAAAAGTGCCTCACATGCTCAAAATGGATAGTTCATTCCTCAAAAGCAAGTATTAATGTCAATAAACGTGTCAGTGTCATCAAAATGAAAAGTCCTGACACCATTGTTTATGAACAAGATAGTCAAATGTCTTTGTCATGTTTTCATTATGACAGTTTACTCTGGACATTTTTTCAATGCAAAAAAAGTCAGATTTTGGTGACACTTCCTGAAAATGCTCTAGACAGCACAGCTTTGAACAGCCATTTGAAAACTACAGTAAAAATAGACATCACTGCATTTAGTGAGGTATCTGAGTACAAGACACTGAATATGTATGTTTCACATTTTTACAGCATTTGCTCTTTACAATTTTAATGTATTCACAGCATTGTGCCAAAGAATAAATACACCCTTATTTAAAACAAACATACACTCTCTTTGGGTAGAGCTGTGCACAACAGTAAACAATATTGCAGAACATATTGGAACTGAACCTACAACATACACAGGTCTGTAAATCATTCATGAAATTTTATATGGGATGACTATTCAGCATTTACACGTTTAGTTAATTTTGACTGACATGACTTAAGCAAATGATAATGTTCTAAATAGCAGATAGTTGTATGAAAGCAATTGATGCACGTCCAAAAGCATTTGCAATTTGTTGGAAGGAATGAGAAACTGCTACTCTGATGTGCACAAATGACTAATTGTTTTGAGAAATGCATTAACTGTTGTGCAAATGTAAATAGTGTTGTGAGAAATGCACCAAAGCCACTGAGCAAAAATGTAAACAAGCGCATTGTGTTTGTGCGCGTGTATGTGCATAAACTTTGTAACAACATTGTGTGTGTGAAAGGGTCAATAAATCATCCCGGATGCACCTATTTAAGCACACGAATGCGTGTGTCATTTAGGGTGCTTTCACATCTGTAGTTCGCTTCATTTGGTCCGGACCAAGGGTAATAATTGATACATTGTTGCATCTTCTGCCGTCTTTGGGTCGTTTTCAAACCACACTGCTGGCTTTGGTCCGAACCAGTTGAAACGAACCAAAATGCAGTCATCTGACAAAATCCACATCTCTTATTGGCCAGATGTTGTTGAACATATTTCCTAAACTGCTTATTGATTGGTCAGAATTCACGTGCGGGGAAATGCCAGTGAACTCCCGCAGGTAAACAAAACCGGCAGAGACAAAATGTGGTTTTTACTCTGGAGGGACGACTGCGCTGGCTGATTGTATCCCAGCTTTAGACAAACTATACATTACAAAAATGAAACGCGGCCACGGCTGGCAAACAGCGTTTAATGCATGGCTGGTCACTTCAGGAGGAGGCGTGAATTAATTTAGCTAAACAGCGACATGGTCATCTTGCGGAAATATTACCAACGACCCATCAGGTAAAGTTTTGCCCTCTCTCCCTCTCTGTTGGTAAAGCTCTGTCAACAAATATTTTCCCTCCATATCCCATAATGCACAGCGCATCGGCCTACGGCAGCTGAATTAGTCCAAAACGCGCAGTACTTTTTGCGGTTGGACCTGTTTTAGTACGGATCATATTCTCACCACAAACGAACCACTCCAGGGTTCGTTTAAAAGCGCACCGAGACCACCTCTTCAAGGTACACTTATTTGGTCTGCTTTTGGTGCCCACTCGAGTACGATTGGTGCATTCACACCTGCCCAAACGAGCCGCACCAAAAGGGGAAACAAACTCTAGTGCGATTCAATTGAACTAAGGCAAGTGTGAAAGCACCTTTATTCATTCAACTGCCACAAACAAAATGGCGTTTCATAGCGACCACCATCATCATACTGCATCATCACAACACTAGGGTCCTTCAAAGTCAAATTGGAGTGATAGAAACACAATAAGTCCCTTTTTTTTAATTTCCAGACATTAAAATAGGATCCAAATCAATCCCATTTTAAGGCCGACCACAACGTGACGAAGAAGTTCAGTTTCCCCGCAAACCAAATTGATTGACAGCCACGTAATAACATGTCTCCATAGTAATGCATATAATCATATCGACAAGACAGGCAAAGCAACTGCGACTAAAAGATCTGCTCAGCTCTCTGTGATCATCAATCATCAAATGTGATCAAGAATGAGTTTTACAAGTTTAAAGCGTTTTTAAAACGGTGTATGCTCGTAACAAATTTACAGCAATTTTACCGTCTTTATCCCCACAGCCGCATGTTATAAAACAATTATAAAAGAAGACACCTCAATCCTGGTTTGTAAACATTAAATCAGATTTATTTTGAACATTAATATTGGATGTTACCTGTATCCTGTCACATTTGACGTGCAAAAACATAGCAAAGTTACAGTTTTTCTCAGTCGCTTTGGTGCGTTTCTCACAACACTAGTGTATTTCTGCACAACAATTAATGCATTTCTCAAAACAATTAGTACAAACTGCAAAACCTAGTTGATAACCTGCAAAAGTGCCTCACATGCTCAAAATGGATAGTTCATTCCTCAAAAGCAAGTATTAATGTCAATAAACGTGTCAGTGTCATCAAAATGAAAAGTCCTGACACCATTGTTTATGAACAAGATAGTCAAATGTCTTTGTCATGTTTTCATTATGACAGTTTACTCTGGACATTTTTTCAATGCAAAAAAAGTCAGATTTTGGTGACACTTCCTGAAAATGCTCTAGACACAGCTTTGAACAGCCATTTGAAAACTACAGTAAAAATAGACATCACTGCATTTAGTGAGGTATCTGAGTACAAGACACTGAATATGTATGTTTCACATTTTTACAGCATTTGCTCTTTACAATTTTAATGTATTCACAGCATTGTGCCAAAGAATAAATACACCCTTATTTAAAACAAACATACACTTTCTTTGGGTAGAGCTGTGCACAACAGTAAATCGAGTACGATTGGTGCATTCACACCTGCCCAAACGAGCCGCACCAAAAGGGGAAACAAACTCTAGTGCGATTCAATTGAACTA